CACTTAAGCCCAAGAGTTTGAGTTTGCTGTGAGCTATGATGCCACAGCACTCTACCGAGGGTGACAAAGTGAGACTGTCTCAAAAAAAGGGGGGGGAGCTCAAGGAGTAGGGCGCTGACCTCATATACTGGAGGTGGCAGGTTCAAACCTGGCCCCAGCCAAAAAAAAAAAAAAAAAGGAAATCTTACTTAGGGATAAAGAAATTAAATATCATATAATTTTCACATGTCAAAATAGTCTTTCAGCTCATATAAAAACCATTCTTAGCTTGTGGGCCATATAAAAATAGGTAAAGCAAGCTATATTTGGTCTGTTGGCCATAGTTTGCCAACTCCTGACATGTGATGAGTGTTCTAACAGAGGCTGATGAGTCTATAAAAGTGAGCAAATTTTGCTTTGAAGGAACATGGCATTCTGAAGGAAGTGACATTGAGTTTTGCCCTTGACATAAATAGAAGCTTGTCAGATGGGGAAGCCAGGGAAGGAAGGCATACAAGAGAAAAGGCACATGCCAAGTTTGAGGATTACAAGTAGCACAGTATGGCTTGATCAGAGTGTATGAAGTGGGTAGTGAAGGGAGATTAGGCTGGAAATACAAGCTGAAGTCAGATCAAGGCAGACCTTGAATGCCTAGCTTAGAAATTTATAGATTAGACTGGTGATTCTAAAGATTTTGGGGGACTCAGCGCCGTATCTCGGTGGTTAGGGTGCCAGCCACATACACTGAGGCTGGCAGGTTTGAACCCAGCCTGGGACCTGCTAAACAACAACAATTACAAAAAAAAAAAAAATAGCCAGGTGTTGTGGTGGGTGCCTGTAGTCCCAGCTACTTGGGAGGCGGAGGCAAGAGAATCGCTTGAGCCCAAGACTTTGAGGTTGCTATGAGCTGTGATGCCTACCTGTGCGTCCTAACCAGGGTTAAGCCCAAGACTTTGAGGTTGTTGGGAGCTGTGACGTCTACCTATGTGTCCCACCCAGGGTGACATAGTAAGACTGTGTCAAAAAAAATTAAAAAATAAATAAAATTAATTATTAAAAAAAAAAGATCTTTTAGGTCTAGCGCTCTGAAGACTGATTATAAACCCAGGGGTGGTGCCTGTGGCTCAGTGGGTAGGGCTCTGGCCCCATATACCAAGGGTGGTAGGTTCAAGCCCAGCCCCAGCCAAACTGCAACAAAAAAATGGCTGGGTGTTATGGTGGGCACCTGTGGTCCCAGCTACTTGGGAGGCTGAGGCAAGAGAATCGCCTAGGCCCAGGAGTTGGAGGTTGCTGTGAGCTGTGTGACGACACAGCACTCTACCAAGGGCAATAAAGTGAGACTCTGCCTCTAAAAAAAAAAAAAAATTATAAACCCAGATGGCGCCTGTGGCTCAGTGAGTAGGTCGCTAGCCCCATATACCGAGGTGGCAAGTTCGAACTTGGCCCTGGCCAAACTTCAACAACAACAAAAGAAATAGCTGGGAGTTGTGGCGGGCACCTGTAGTCCCAGGTACTCGGGAGGTTGAGGCAAGAGAATCGCCTAAGCCCAAGAGAGGGAGGTTGCTGTGATCTGTGATGCCACAGCACTCTACCAAGTGTGACAAAGGGAGACTCTATCTCTAATATAAAAAAAATGATAAACCCTTCCCTGGAGCATGCAATTATATAATTTTGTATACAAATTCTAGGGTGGGGGTAGAGAATAACAAACCTGTGTCCCATTTATGGACCTCAGGTGAAGAATCCTATTCTATACAAAAGCTGGTAGAAAGAATTGAAAGTGTTTTCTCCAGCAGGCAGCTATTATTTTAATGCCATTTACTCTAACAAATAGTATCTTTTTTTTTCTTTTTCTTTTTGGCTGCTAGGTATGTTATTGCTCAGCCTAAGTAGTATCTTACCTCAGATTCTACAGGGTCCACAATGGAATCATTGAGGAACTTCACCATCACAAACTTCTTCAGGGCCATCAGGTTTTTCTTGTAGGACTCATTGACACCCTGGAAGAAAGGCCAACAGCACCTCAGGGTCATTACCATTAGACATCAGCAGGGGGTTAAAGCCTTTCAATGCTCTGGTCTCTCTGACCCTGGGCCACTGTGTTTCTTCCCTGTAGGTTGGGCTGTTTTTCAGCTTCGTGCCCAGGATATACCTTGTACAGCCTTTTCTTACCATCCTATCTGACTGAGATGCCACAAACACGGCATATAGGTGCAACCATGACTGTCACCACTTTCCACAGGCATCCACAGAGGCAAAAGGCATCTAGTCAGAGAAAGCCAAGGCAAAAATAAACTGCAAATTCTGAGTGGTTCTGCTATACTATTCTGTGTTATTTTTGTTTTTTTCCCTTTCAATTTTTTTTTTTTTTTTTTTTTGAGATAGAGTCTATGTTGTCCTGGGTTGCTATGACGTCACAGCTCACAGCAACCTCAAATTCTTGTGCTTAAGTGATTCTCTTGCCTTAGCCTCCCAAGTAGCTGGGACTACAGGCACCTGCCACAACACCCAGGTATTTTTTTGTTGCAGTTGTCATTGTTTAGTAGTCCCCAGGTCGGGTTTGAACCCGCCACCCTCACTGCATGTGGCATGTGCCATTATCACTGTGCTACTGGTACCAAGGCAAAACCTTTTGTTTGAAAACAAAAAGAAACTTGGGCAGTACCTGTGGTTCAAAGGAGTAGGATGCCAGCCCTACATGCCAGAAGTGGCGGGTTCAACCCCAGGCCAGGCCAGAAACTGCAAAAAAAAAAAAAAAAAGGCCCAAAAAGAACCACGCCCCCGCCCCCCCCAAAAAAACTCTTCAGATGAGCCTAATATAAATTGAGCCATCTAGTTGACCAGAACCTCCCAAACTATGCTTGTATCTGGGACATACCCAGCGCCCTCTATAGTCTCTCTTATGGGCAAATCTCTCTTTTGAGAAAGTCTGCCCCCAAATAGACCAAAATAGTCAGGAAAACTTTCCTCCTTAAAAGCAGCTATGAGTTTCCACTTAGGCCATCAGCAACTTACTGGGCTTATCCTGCTTCAACATTAGGAAAGGGAAAGAACTTAAGGGAAGAAAGCCAAGTGAATTTCAATAGCCCTAAAAGGTACCAAATCTCAGAAGCACTGCCTCCCAAATCACAGAACTTCGGTTTCCCAGATTCTGCCCAGGACAGTTTGGGTCAAATGTCACTGCTGATTTGGTTATGATGATGTGAATAGAATAAAAAAGCACAACTTTGAGAGCCTGGTTTGGACACTTACCCTCTCCTGATTTATATCTGCCAAGAAGATGCTGTGGTTGCGATATACATCCTCCTTTAGGGGGTCATGCCAGTATTCTGCTTGCACCAAACTACAGGAAGAAAAAGGAATGAAGGTGACCAAGCTGCATTTCATGTGTCATGCCCAGTACAAAGGGCATCAAGAGACTTCAAAAGGACAAAAGACCAAGTTCCCAACTCTCAGGCCTTGCCTTCTAATGGGGAAGAGAAACTTCTACCTACTTAATGATTTATCAAGACACCTTGTTGAGGCTGGGCACAGTGGCTCATGCCTCTGATCCTAACATCTGGGAAGCCGAGACAGGGGATTGCTTGAGCTTAGGAGTATGAGATCAGCGAGACCAAGCTAAGCAAGAATGAGACTTTGTTTTTACTAAAAATAAAAAATTAGCCAGGTCCTATAGTCCCAGTCACTTTGGAAGCTGAGGCAGGAGGATCACTTGAATTCAGGAATCTGAGGTTACTGTGAGCTAGGCTAACAGTAGTTGCTTGCCTGGGCAACTGAATGAGACTCTGTCTCAAAAACAAAAAAAAAACAAAAAAAAAAAAAACAGGGTGGCAACTGTGGCTCAGTGAGTAGGGTGCCAGCCCCATACACCAAGGGTGGTGGGTTCAAACCCGGCCCCGGCCAAACTGCAACAAAAAAATAGCCGGCTGTTATAGCGGACGCCTGTAGTCCCAGCTACTCGGGAGGCTGAGGCAAGAGAATCACCTAACCAGGGGTCTTCAAACTTTTTAAACAGGGGGCCAGTTCGCTGTCCCTCAGACCGTTGCAGGGCCAGACTGCGGGTCCTGGGACAAGTCAGCTGCTAAGCAGGACAGGTAGTGGCAGCAAAAACACCCTGCAGGCGGGATAAATGTCCTAGGCGGGCTGCATGTGGCGGCGAGCCGCATGTGGCAGTGGGCCGTAGTTTGAGGATGCCTGGCCCTAAGCCCAGGAGTTGGAGGTTGTTGTGAGCTGTGACACCACGGCACTCTACTGAGGGCAATAAAGTGAGATTCTGTCTCTAAAAAAACAAAACCAAAAACAAACAAACAAAAAGGGAGAGACACCTTGTTGACACAAGGACATCCTATTTAGCATAGTATAGAAAGTATATAGGGCAGCGCCTGTGGCTCAGTGGGTAGGATGCCAGCCCCATATACCGAGGGTTGGGGGTTCAAACCTGGCCTAGCCAAATTGCAACAAAAAATAGCCAGGTGTTATGTTGGGCGCCTGTAGTCCCAGTTACTTGGGAGGCTAAGGCAAGAGAATCGCCTAAGCCTAGGAGTTGGAGGTTGCTGTGAGCTGTGACACCATGGCACTTTACCAAGGATGATAAAGTGAGACTGTGTCTCTACAAAAAAAAAAAAAAAAGTATAGGAAGTATATAAAAGAGTTCAGTAAAGGGCCTAGGTGCAATGGCTCAAGCCGACAATCCTAGCACTCTGGGAGGCTAAGGTGGAAGGACTGCATGAGGTCAAGAATCCAAGATCAGCCTGAGCAAAAGTGAGATCCTGTCTCTGCTAAAAATAGAAAACTTAGTGGGGTACTGTGGTGGGCACCTGTAGTCCCAGCTACGCAGGAAGCTGAGGCAGGAGAATCACTAGAGCCCAAGAGTTTGAGGGTGCGGTGAGCTAAGATGATGCCAGCATTCTAGGTAGGGAGACAGAATAGCTCAGTGGGTAGGGCGCCAGCCACATATACCGAGGCTGGCAGGTTCAAACCCAGCCCAGGCCAGCTAAACAACAATGACAACTGCTTGTGGTGGGCACCTGTAGTCCCAGCTACTTGGGAGGCTGAGGCAAGAGAATCATTTAAGCCCAAAAGAGTTTGAGGTTGCTGTGAGCTGTGACACCATGGCACTCTACTGAGGGAAACATAGTGAGACTGTCTCAAAAAAAATTTTTTTTTAAGAAAAAGATTTATCAATATTTGGTTCCCGTATGGGACTTAGCTTTACCGCTTATACCTTCCAGTCACGGTAGCACTGCTGTCCCGTCCCACAACCCCATCTCACCTTGCAAGACTCAACTCAAACATCACTAATGCTGCCTCTTCCTCCCCATCCTCTTCTATTGCATCAGTCATCATGCTATCCTTAGGCTGGGAGAGAGGCCCAACCTCTCAATCACAAAGCATTGTGAGTGATGGCACCAGTTTTCAGTATTCTGGTATGTCGTGCCATTTTCAAGTACAAAGGGCAATTACTTGATGGTTATAATACCATTACTTCAGACACAGTTCAGCAATTCTATTCACATTTTCTCTCTAGTCTCTCTCCAATTCCCCTTCCCTTCTAGCCCCCATCCCTCCCAAAGGGGGAAATTAGCACAAAGATGGAGCCCTCTATCCTGGGTTGGCAGGGGGAGAAATCAGAATTTCTCTAAGAGGAACTTCCAGCCAAGGTAGGAGAGCTGCCTAGAGGTGATGGTCCCAAAAGTCACACTCGGGACCAGGATGTCGGTGGAGCAGGATGTCGCTAAAGCCCAAAAAAACTAGCTACATCAGAGAAGGTGGCAGCTGTCATGTCCAGCAGGCGATAAGACTGAGGTTACAGGAAGTAGCAGCCTGACTATCAGCAGTGAGAGTGACATTGTGTAATGTGTGCGTCGATGTATTTGAAATGTTTTAAATGTTTAGTCTCCCTGACTTTTAAAAATGTGATGAACTTTGAACACTGATAAAATACTGCTACTGGTCTTGTCATTTTGTTCCAGTATTGCTGTCACTTACTTACAGGTGAGAGTGCTGGTTCCCTGTCCATCTCCTAAGGACTAAGCTCCCTGGCACAGAGCAGATGCTTGGTAGGAAGGCTTTGCTGCATGAACGAACCTGACACAGGAAGTCAGTCTGGCTAGGAAAGAACCAGGCACTGAAGGAGCAGTGGGATTTACACGTGAGGAGAAGGGGGGCAGTACAGTTAAAAGAAGAGTGGGGGCACAGCAGTGTCAGATACTGAGAAGTCACCTGCTGGCCAATTGAAGTTTATCAAAAAAATGTAAGGGACCAGCCTGAGCAAGAGCAAGACTCCATCTCTAAAGATTGCTGGGCATTGTGGCGGGCACCTCTAGTTCCAGCTACTCAGGAGACTGAGTCAAGAGGACGATGGTTGGGCCCAAGAGTTTGAGGTTGCTGTGACCCAAGGGAAATAAAGTAAGACTCTACCTCTATTTTTTTTTTTTTTTTTTTTAGAGACAGAGTCTCATTTTGTCGCCCTCAGTAGAGTGCCATGGTGTTACAGCTCACAGCAACCTCCAGCTCTTGGGCTTAGACCAGTGGTTCTCAACCTGTGGGTCGCCACCCACAGGAACTATATTAAAGGCATTAGGAAGGTTGAGAACCACTGGCTTAGGCGATTCTCTAGCGTCAGCCTCCCAAATAGCTCGGACTACAGGCACCTGCCACAATGCCCGGCTATTTTCTTGTTGCAGTTTGGCCAGCGCCAGGTTTGAACCCGCCACCCTCAGTATATGGGGCCAGCATCCTACCCACTGAGCCACAGGCACCGCCCCAAGACTTTACCTCTAAAAAACAAAAATGTAAGGGGATAAATATGAAGGTCTTTGAATTATAGCAGGGAGGCCTGATGGCGGAGGATGAAAGAATGAATGAAAACAGCAGCCACAGACCATCTTTCTGTGTGCAAAGGAAATGGAGCTAAGGGGCAAAAGGAAGAAATGAGGACACTGTGATTTGTAAGAAAACTGGTGCCCGGCTCGGCGCCTGTGGCTCAAGTGGCTAAGGCACCAGCCACATAAACCTAAGGTGGAGGGTTCGAATCCAGCCCAGGCCTGCCAAACAACAATGACGGCTGCAACCAAAAAATAGCCAGGCGTTGTGGCGAGCACCTGTGGTCCCAGCTACTTGGGAGGCTGAGGCAGGAGACTCGCTTGAGCTCAGGAGTTGGAGGTTGCTGTGAGCTGGGATGCCACAGCACTCTACCCAGGGGGACAGCTTGAGGCTCTGTCTCCAAAAAAAAAAAAGAAAAAAAGAAACCTGGTGCCCATGGAATAGCTGAGGGGAAAGACTTACTGATGAGCAGAAGCCTCAGGCTGCAAGAAGGTGGGATGCTGGGCAGCACCTGTGGCTCAGTGAGTAGGGCGCCGGCCCCATATACCAAGGCTGGCGGGTTCAAACCCAGCCCTGGCTGAACTGCAACCAAAAAATAGCCAGGCATTGTGGCAGGCGCCTGTAGTCCCAGCTACTTGGGAGGCTGAGGCAAGAGAATTGCCTAAGCCCAGGAGTTGGAGGTTCCTGTGAACTGTGACGCCACAGCACTCTACTGAGGGTGATAAAGTGACACTCTGTCTCTACAAAAAAGAAAAGAAAAAGAAGGTGGGATGCTGCCGTGGGGGTGGGAGAGGTCTCTTCAGGAGGCAGAGGAGAAACATGGGATTGTATTATCATCTGAAGGGGCAAATTAATTCAGAGAGGCTAAATAACTCCCTGAGCAATCCAGTCAGTTGTAGTAAAAGTAAGATACCAGCCTAACCTTGTCAGAGCCCACAGTCTGGCCAAGGCACCACACTGAAGGGTAGCAAAGGACAGCTCCCCAGGGGAACTTGCCACCTACAGACCACAGACGGTGAGACAAGCCTTACAGACTTTACCTCCTTCTCCAGCTCTTGTGGCTTAGAATAGCACAGAACAGCACTTCTCTTCCTTCAAAATTATGTGAATTAAAAAAAAAGGACTAGCACTTCTCACATACCAGGCCTATTTTAAGCACTTTACATATATTAACCTACTTAACCCTTGTAAAAGTTCCATAGAAATGGTCACAAACCTTTGCAAAGGACGGAATAGTACCCAGACTGATTAAGTAGTTAGCCCAAGGTCATACTGACAGAGTAAGAGCGCAGGGAATCTAGCTCTAAAGTCACGTTCTTGCCATGTGGGGAGGTAGAGGGCACAGCTTTAGGTCAGCCGGCCTGGGGGTGGAATCACACGTATTTTACCTCTCTGAGTCTGTGCCGTAAAAAATCAAATAAGATAAATGAAGCTCTAGTGCTGTATCCATCCATGGTATAAATTCAACAGAAGACAGTGACATGAGGGCTACCATTTTCCTACATTTTTCTATTTTCT